CCTGTATTACTAAATTAAGTTTCACGGACGTGTTTATCCCTGTGTGCACACACACACAGAGTACCCCCAGACCTCCTCAAGTACTGAAAACTTGTCAGCCCTTGCTGGTGTGTGTGTGCAGGGTCTCTCCAGCTCCCAGCACTGTGTCCAGGTTCCAGGTGCTGACACTCAGGGAGCTGCTCCCATGCTCTGCACCAGGATCACCCTTGTCCCGCTCCCCTTCACTCCTCACTCACCCATCGCTCCTGGAGGAGCTCCCAGACCAGCACTGCATTCCCTGCAGCAAGGAACAGCACGGCAGCAGCCACTGATCAGCTCAGGAAGATGGAAGTGAGGGGTCAGATGCTGCTGCCACAGAACTGCTCCCTGTTCCTCCCTGCGCCAGACTGCAGACAGAGCGGGTCTGGGATTCACTTCCTCACCTGGGACCTGCCCGAGTGACCTACCTCCTGCCACCCAAAACAGCTATAAAATAATCACCCAGCAATTCAGCCACACAGACAGGAAGAACACTGCATTAAAACATCCCTGTCGACACCAGTGATTCCTGTGCTTTACGGACGTCTGGGAGTGTGCTCATGGCATGAACCAAGTTTCCACTCAATTGCAGCGAAGTGGCCCTTGTACCTCTCTCCTCACCCGCTCTCCAGCCTGGCTCTGTCACTTTGATGAAGCCTGCCAGGAGCAGACACACCGTGTGTCACAAAACAGGAGGGATCTGATAAGACAAACCACACACCAGCACAGGATCTCCCTCCAGGAAGCAAACTGGTTGGAAGTCTTCACATGAGACACCACTGCAAATAAATTACCTTTTTTTTTCACTAATTAGGCTTAGCAAATTCTGACAGCTGCTGCTACCTGAATGAAACAACATCGAGAGACATGACTGTACACTGAGTTACTCAGGAAAGGAGCTGGATTGTAATTACCCTTTATTAGTGACACCATGTAGTTTGGTACTTCCCTTGGAAAGGTCTACTCATGTCTCTCCACTTATAATTTATGTTTACAAATTCATTCTTAAACTGGATATATCAAACCACCAACTTTAAATTGGGAAATATAAAATTATTCGGGTTTTTTGATGAGCAACAGAAAATAAAAGTAAGACTATGTGTTTGTGGATGCCCTTCTCTCCATTCACAAAGGAAGCAGGGGTAGCAGCTAATTCAATATCCCAAAAATTTAGAGGTAATCCCAGAAATTTGGGAATTCTGGGCTTTAAGGAAAAGAATATGGTTCCTGTTCCCCACACACCCTTGAGTTCTGGTGTTCTCACAGCCAGCATGTGAAAACACACTACGGAGGCAAACATTCAGGGGATGGAGGATCCCTCCACACCAGAAGCTAACAGGACTTACTGCAGCAAACAGCCTGACACTGACTGAAAAGGAAGAATGAACCATGTCTTGGCAGTATAAATGATCACCTCCAATTATACAGGATCATCTCTGGTGTTGTGTGCAGGTCCCTCTCTGCAGCACAGCACAATCCAGGTGTTCACCCACAGGAAAAAAAACAAAGTTTGATTATTTCCCCTGCATTTGCCCCTCTGTGTCTTTTCATTCTCCCGTTCGACAGCAATTATAAAGCACTAAGACCAAAATCACTACCTGAGGGCACAAATAAAGTGTAATTTTAATAAAGACCCCTGTGCTCTCCAGGCTCAGGGAATCAGGCCTTTTCTAGGGTATGAAAGAGCTGGGACTGCAGAGTGTCTGGGTCCCCTGGGATGGCCAAGGGCACACACAGACAGCTCTTGGGCTACCATAAGTAAAGCCACCCACGCTCTGCTCCTCCAGGATCACACCTTGGGATGCTGATCTCAGCAAAAAGCAGAGCTCGTCACAGACACATAACCAGAGCCAGACACAGGGAACTCCCCGGTTTGGCTGAGGTCAAACTGAGATGCCACAAACTGAACATCCTCTGTGCAAGCACTTTCGGGCTTGCTGAAACACTGGGAGCAGCTCTGGCTTCACTCCATGAGGAAAACTTTGGGGGGGAATAAAGAAGCACATGGTTCATATCCACTCTGCTCTGGAATAAGCCATGACTGCCAATGAGAGAGTGTCAGGAAAGAAATGCATTTGTCAGAAAAGCAGTGTGAAAGTGGAAAGAAGATGTGATCCCTGGTTGAGCCATATGCATTTGGTTGGTTATTAAACCAAAGAATGTGAAAACCTAGAAGCCTTGGCTTGGCCAGGAACCTGCTCTCACGGTTCGTGCAGTCCAGGACACGGCGCTGCAGCTGGGGGGGATCAGCCTCGATCCTGGGCGATGCAACAACGCCTCCCAAAAATCCCAAACGCCTCGGGCAGCACTCCTACCCGATCAAAGTGACTGCAAAGGCTCTGCCGAGAGCTGCCCGGGCAGCTCCCGCAGGGATGCCCCGGTGCCCGCGGGATGGCCGGGCAGTGCCGGTGCCGGGTGGGGAGGCAGGCTCCGCTCCCCGCGCCAAATAATTAGTTATTTACAGCCTCTTCCGCCACGCCGGTCACCCCTGACCTCCTTCAGCCAGCCGAGGCGATTAGAGCCCACTGCTGCAGACGTCTGGCTGCTTAGCACCGCCCGGCATATTGGCACTCCAGCCCGGCGGCGGGCGAGACTCGCGCCCCCGCCCCCAGAAAGCCCTTTTCTAATCCTAATCTGGGAGCGCCACACACAGAAACCAGCTGCTTCCTCCACCGCAGCGCCGCAGCCGCCATACGGAATAAAGCCTGCGAGGAAAAGGGGTTTGGGCATCGGCTGGACAGTTAACCTATTTAGGGGGTTGTAAATCAGAGGAGTTCGCGTGTTCCTCCCCGTGCCACCTTCCTGAAGCGTTCCTGCCTGGTAACTGAAAATTTTGGCTGAAAAATTAAGGAGCATCTGGTGGTAGCTGCTCTGAGGTTCCCTGAAAGTCGTGTCAGAAAGATACACAAAATCAAGCGAGTGGAGGAGGAAAAACGCCGTAGGATGGATTTATCTCAGGGAGGCTCAGCTCTGCCCTTTCCACTGGAGCCAGGTGCAGGAGGCGATCAGGTAACAGCCCCTGTGGTGCCACCAGAGCTCTCCTGCAGCACAGAGGTGAGCCATGCTGCCCGCCATCAGCAGGAAATAAATAATAACACTGGTGATAAGAAACCTACCCCAACATGAAACAGGGAAGGGCAGCAAAAAGGGAGCTCGCTCCAAGGCTCCCAGGATCTCACGGGAACTCAGCACCGGAGTGTCAGGACCCCAGAGCTGGCAGAGGGCAGGGGACAAGTCAGGGAAGGACCTCGGGAGCATCACCACAACTCCCATCCCAGTCCAGGCAAGGTCTCCTCCGGTGTCAGTCACTGTTCCCTGTCTCTCACACCCCCATCCATAAGCAGCACCTGCCTCTTACCAAGCTTTTCATATGCTGACAAAAATGGGGGGGAAATGATAAACTATGCTATTTCTAAAAAGTTAAGGAGTGAAATTAAAAGCCTGAGTTGTTCCAACAAAACCTCATGCCAAGAGTTAGACTGGAATAGAAGCTTTTTCTTCAAAAGACTTTACACATTTTAATTCACAACTTTTATCACAACCATGAGCCTTGCTCAGACGCAAAGTCTCATCCTTGGGATTCTGTGGGACACAGTTTATGTTCAGCAACTGGCTGACACAAAAAAGAACTGTATCTTCATTATTTATACACTGCTATTGGTATGCACATCTAGCCCGGCCTGTTAAAGTCAGGGAAGAATAATGGTCTATTCAGTACCGGTAGTGTTAATAAAATCAGGCAAATCCAGCTTAGTTTTGTCTGAACACGAATGAGATTAAATCAAGATTAAAAGTGCATACAGTACAAAGGGTATGGTTTATGCTAAAATTCAGAATGAACACATTTTAGTACCCAGTATACAAATGCCTGCAGACCTTCTCCAGGACTCAGACACCTGAATTAAACCAGGATGAAGCTGGAGTAGGAGAAGGCAGACGACACTGGACAAAAGCCATTCCAAACACCAAGGGACAGATGCTCTGCAGCCCCGCTGGAGGTAACGGGGCAGATCCTGTGCTAGCAGAAACAGGCACAGCTCAGCTGGCTCTCCCTGCACGCACCGAGCGCCAGCCTGCCCCGTCGCAGTGCCAGGCACATATGCAAAATCCAGACTCTTTCCCAAGTTTTCCTTTTGGGCCATTTTGCATTAGTCTGTGCAGGGTTTGGATTTCAAGGCACTGAACAAGGTGCTAAGCAGGGTGCAATCCTGACAACCCTCCCGCTCTGGGATGCCTTGAAAACCTTCCCTTTACAGAAAATACCATTTGCTTAAAACTGCCAAAGAGCCCAACTCATTCCTCTCCCCTCAGCAGTAATATTCCTTCTCTCTCTCCTCCGTGCACTTCATCTCCAAGAGGGAAAAAGCACACAGAGAAATGGTGAATATTTAGGTCAGGCACTGCCCTCACTGCTACTCTGCGAAGGTTGAAAAATATTAATGAAAAAACCCAAATCGCCCTTCGGAACACAAAGCCCCAAGGGGCTGGGGACGGGGGGAACAGGTTCCCAAATCCAAACCCTACTCGGGTGTCCGGACCGCGGTGCCCCCCCGGTACCGAGGCGAGGGTGATTTACACGGGGGTAGCGGGGGAGGCTCGGCAGCGCCCCAGCATCACCCCCGCAGGAGGGGAAGGCGCGGGGCAGGGCACCGGGGCACCGCGGGGAAAGGGCGAGACGCGGGCGGGGATGGAGCCGCGATGGGGACGAGCGGGGATCTCAGCCCCGGTGCCGGCGGGGAGCGGCTGATCCCGGGCAGCTCCGGCAGCCGTGTCACACCCGCAGCGACATCCCAGCGGCAACAGATGAGAGAGCGGGGCTGGCACGGAGGGGGGGGAGGAAAACCACTCCGGGAAAGCGCATCGCAGCCAAGGGTCCCGGGAGCCCCCGCGGGAACTTCCCCGCCCGCGGCGGGGCCGCCGGGCACTCCCGCAGCCCGGGCACCTCCCGCACCCTCCCCGGGAGCAGCAGGACTGGTACTTACTGATCTCCATGCTCTGGAACAAAGACCTTTTGCAGTTGCATGTGCAGGACACATTGGGCTGAATAGCTACGGCCGTGCTGTTCAGCCCCATGAAGTTATACATTTAAACACTCACACCAAAAAAAAAAAAAAAAAAAAAAAAAAAAAAAAAAAGGAAGGCGACGGCGACACAAAGAACTTCCCGGCCGCCGAGCGCTCCCCGGGCAGCACCACATAAAGCCGGGGCTCCTCCTCGGCGCGGGGGGGCGGAGGGAGGGAAATGCAGCTGCGATCAGAAATTGGAAATAAAAAACCCGGCGCGGCGCAGCGCCCCCGGCAGCGGCTCCGCTCGGCCCCGCGGCTGCTCCGCGCCCCTCCGGCCCGGGAAGCGGCAGCGCTGGGCCCGGCCGCGGCAGCCCCGCACTTTTGTGGGGCGCGGCGCGGTGGGAGCGCGATGGGAGCGCGGCCCGCCCGCTCCCGCTCCGCTCCCGCCCCCCGCGCTCATTCACGGCCACGGGGACGCGGCCGCGCCGCCGCCGCCGCGGGCGGGACCGTGACGTCAGCGCCAGACGGGGACTGCCCTTCCCTTCCCTTCCCTTCCCTTCCCTTCCCTTCCCTTCCCTTCCCCGCGCTGCCGCCGGGAGCGGGGCTGGGGCAGCTGCCGGGGGCGCGGGACCCCCGGAACCGCAGAGCGCGGTGGAGCGGTGCAAGGGACCCCCGTGGGTCACCCGGTGTCCCACCTCCCGGCTCAGGCAGGCTCATCCCGGAGCACAGGGCACAGGATTGTGTCCAGACGGCTTCTGGAATATCTCCAGCGAGGGAGACTCCACACCCTCTCCGGGCAGTCTGTTCAGTGTTCGTTCACCTGCACAGAAACAAAGTTCTTCCTCGTGTTCTGGTGGAAATTCCTGGCCATCGGTTTTGTAGCCTCTTGGCACCACGGAGCAGAGCCTGGTCCATGTTCTTGGCACCCTTCCTTTAGATATTTACACACACTGGTGAGGTTCCCTCTCAGTCATGCCTTGAGTCCGAGCAGGCCCTGCTCTCTCAGCCCTTCCTCATCAGAGATGCTCCAGTCATTACTGCACTCACCCACCCACAGAGGATCCTTAAAGTAGCACCTGCACTGAGCCCACCCAGGTGGGCCCAGGGGCACCCCCAGCTCCCAGCCTGCAGCAGGACCTGGCAGAGCTTCTGCAGATCAGCTCCAAAAGCACCTGGATTTGGGTATCCTGCTGGAAAAGCACCCAGAAGTCAGGCTCACCCCACAACACCCACCCAGCTGTGGGTACCCCTCAGCACTGAGCCACAGGGCTCCAGGCTCACTTCACACAGCCAGCCCCCAGTGCAGCATTTCAGACAGAAATATGGGAAAGATTGGAAAAGAGATGCAGGGGATAACACAGTCTGACCACAGCTGAGCTCAGTGACAATTCTCATTAGCTCCCATGGTGGTGCCAGTGGTGCTGCTCAGAGCTCAGGAGCTATTCCCCACACATTCCCACTTTTGTTTCAAACCACACGCTGTAAAAGTGACCCCATTCTCTGCAAGACAGGTAAAAGGAAAAAACATCATCTCTTCCCTAAGGGCTCATTGTGCCAAGATTTAGTTGAGACAGATTTTTTTTTTCTGGGAAATAAACCTGTGAAAACACAGGTTTATAATGAAAATGCTGAAACAAGCTTAACTACAGTGGTGCGAAGTAGCTGCTATAAATCTTGGTGAATCCTGTTACCGGGAGATAAAGGCAGCTTCAGTTATCTTCTAAGAAAGCACATTTCCCCATAACTGTTGATAGCTCTGATTTAGGATTTGGGAGTATCTGAGGCATCCCAGCTGGGCCTGCACTCCCCAGAGATGCTCTTGGGGAGATGCAGTGAGGTGGGGACAGGAGACCAAGCAGCAGAAATCCTATTCCTGCAAAGCTGAAGCAATCACAGAAGACGGATGGTCTCAAAATTTGGGTCAGATTCAGTGGCACCCATTGGTAAGGTTTAACCTTTATTTCCCTGCCCAGAAAAGGAATTTATTTCTACATTACTATTACAAACTAATGTTAAATACCCACCCGTACTTTACTCCTGCAGCCCCATCCAGTCCTGTGAAAATGCCTGGAGAGCAGGAACAAGGAATTGCCAGGTTGTTTAATCTTTTACTCTTTGCCACTCGACAGATGGTAGCTCCCAACAATTACTAATCCAAAGGAAACACGGAAGGGGATCGTGTGGCTCAGACAGAAACGAAGTTTGTGCTCCCCAGCACTGAGCACACGTGAATTATCCAACAAGTGCCATTCCCAAAGGCAGGGGAAGGTGCTGGGGTGGCACCAGAGGTGGGAATTGGTGTGCTGGGAGATTAAGGACAATTACGTGAAAAAAAATCTGTGCTGGAGCTGGAGATAAAGCATTTGCAATCCTATTTTATATTTTGCTTCCTGCCTCAGTTTCCTCATCAGTAATGCAGGAGGGGTAATCCTGATTCCTTCAGGTTATTTCTGGGGGCTCAATTTATTTTGTGGCAGTCAGATTTTTAGAAATGCTTCGTGAAAATGTGAAGGAAGAAACCCCTGTTACAGGGACACTCAGCCCACCAGCCCCAGAAAGGACATCCAGAAAGTTAGAGCCAGGCACACACATGGTCAAAATGCTGGAGACAAATTCCAGTTCAGATATGCTTTATCAATTAACCTACTTTTATTATTTACCTGGAAATATATCTTTATATTATGTTTAAAACACTTGGTGGTTGAACATTAGCGACACTTTTCCAAAGGACCTTTCTTGACTGGCCAGAAAAGGTGGCTGGAAGCTTATCTGAGCCTACCAGCTTGCAACTAACATCCTTTGCACTTAAAACACATAGCACTGCCATAAATAAATCAAGGTGAGGACTGCACGTGTCCCTGTGTCATGTGAGGTCCCAGCTGGCAGCACCAGCCCTGCCACCACCGCTGAGCCCTCTGAGCTCTTCAGCCATGTGGATGTGGCCACAGTTCACCTTTCATTCAGAATTCTTGGATTGTAAAACAGTTGGGAGACCCTTAAACAGTCTCAAGAGAGTGAATGCAGCTCCAAGCAATGGATTATTCTTCTGAGGCAGGTCAGTTCCTCGAGTGGAGGGTCCTTCTCTGCAATCTCTGCTGCAGCAGGCACAGCCTTGCCTTCCAAAAGGCTTTGCCATGCAAAAGGCATCACCCCTGGGCACAATCTCTGCTGCAGCAGGCACAGCCTTGCCTTCCAAAAGGCTTTGCATCACCCCTGGGCAGAGGGACAGGAGATGGGGTGCCCTGAGCAGTGGCACTGCCAGCACCCCGTGCCCAGGCTGCCCTGGGGCTGTGGCAGAGGCAGCTCCAGCGGGGGGAGGCTCCTGCCCTCACCCCATGAATCACCTTGTTCCAGGGGGAGTTTTTACAAGTTCACAAAGCTCTGGTGGATAAAGGCTCCTGTTTCAGGTGCAGGCTGCTGCAAGTTCACACATCTTCCCAATCTTCTTTAAAAATAAAGAAAAAATAAATGTTTGCAAGTCGATGCTGGTTTAAAAATGCTGTTTACCACCATCTCCATTTCATCTGAACGACTCATGTGGCTTTAAGAATAATCAGCATTTTTCCACCATGATTTAAGAACAAATAATTAAAGTCATCCCAGATGGGCTTGTAAAAATTAAAAGTACATCAGCTAACTTAAATGCTTCACCCTGTTCTTTGTAATGACACCACCCAGCCTCCAGCCCAATGCATTTGTCAGAGCTTCTGTCCCAGCAGCGGGTGCTGCTCATCTGTGGGACATTTCCAGAAAACACTGTTGTTGATTTTGGCTCCTCTGTTCTGTCACTGATCAGCTTTTTTCCACTTCTTTTTATGTTTTCCCTGGAGACACCTCAGACAGTTCCAGGATGAGTCTGGAACTGCGAGATCTCCCTTTGCTTCCTGGGTTTGCCATAAATTCCAGGGAAAGCCAAGGCTGCTCCCTGGGCCTCGGGCTCTGCAGCCATGGAAAGGGACACACAGGAGCTCTGAGATCATCTGGGATCCTTGGACAAGCTGAAGGACACGGGCACATCAGTCTGCCATGGCTAGTCAGGGATTGTAACGTAATTTCACTCAGTACCAGACCAGAAGTCAGGCATTTGCCTGTGCAGTCATATTTAAATATTTCCTTTTATTCCTCACTGCAACACTCCAGCATCACTTAGATCATTACAGTGCAGCGCTATGGATAAATTCATAAAATGTAATGGAAAAGCAAGATCCATCTGAGAAATAAGTAACCTTAAGAGTCAAATGGTGTTCAAGACAACCTAAGGAAAAACAAAACAAAAAAACCTCCACAAGTCCCCAAAGCTTTGTTAACTAAACAGTTGTCCAATAAAGAGTCCAAATATTTCACAGCATTAGTCTTTGGATTAATGTTAAATCGATACACACTAACGCAATAGGGCAATAGTTACCATGGTGAATAATTCTATATTTATTTTCAAGCAAGCCTTATTTCTAACAATTCCAGACATGGTTTCCACTTTCTGGTGACTAACCCCCTCAATTTAAGTTTATTTTTCTAACTGCTTGGTACCAGAATCTCAGGTTTTCTCCCCAACAATTAGAACAGGATCTCTCCTGCCATGGAGGAGAACAATGCCATGGGGACGTGGGTGCTCAACAGCTTTAGTTAAGGGTCCCACTTAGGAGGTTTTGTTCCTCCTAAGGGAGGATAAAAAAGGATAAAAAGTCAGTGAGTATTTGTTAGCAATGAAAATTTTTCACTGAAGCTACCAGAATATAATTCCAACCCATTCTGTCTTTTTTGGGGCCTGATATAACTCCGGCTGACATCACTGGGAAGACTCCACCCTACCTTTACATTTTATCGAGGCACTGGTAGGAAATCCATCACCCTCTGAATTCACAGCTCCCTGCCTGAGCACACTTCCCTCCCTTGTGCCAGAGAAACCAGGATGGCACACGTAAAATAAAACAGCACCGGGGGAAGAGTTCCAACTGCGTCAACATAAAATCACCCCTGGCTTTTCTTAAGGCAACAACAGGCATTTCGGAGAGGGGAACGGCGCTCCGGAAAGCAAACAGAGGTGCCCCGGAGCTGTGCCAGAGCCAAGCGCAGGGCCAGGCTGACCCGAGGCGGCAGCGCAGGGATGCTGAGGGCGGCCCGGACCCGGAGCTCTGGAGCCGAGCAGCCGGGGCAGCTCAGGGCTGAACTGCCCTTGTTTGGGGCCCGTGCCCGCCCTGCAGGAACGCCACACACGCACGGCTCGTGTTGGTCACAGCGCGTTTGCTGCGCGCTGGCGCTCGTTCCTCGAAGAGGGGAGCTCAGAGCCAGCCGGGCTCTGCTCCGCCTGCTCCCGCCTGGACACACACGGCTGGGCTGGGGCAGGGCCCGCTCACTGCCCCACATCCCGGGCGCCCCTCCGCGCCTGCCACGGGGGAACTGCGGGAGGACGAGGAGGAGGAGGAGGCTCTGAAGATGCCCCTGCCTTCAGTCGCCATTCAGCGCAGCACAGGGCGCGCCCGAG